GGAAGTTTCTTGACGTTGGGATCGTGCAGTTGTAACTAATCAGGATATATATACAGTTCGGGATAGAGTTTCCGTACAGTAGGTTCGCAGGTTAGAATCGCCCAAAACTAGTTATTGTCGCGCTTGTAGTGCAAATATCCCTTGTGGTCGAAACCGAACCAAAACCGATGGTTAACCACGGCTACCGATCGTTTTTCAGGCGGTTTTTCTGTTGTGTTGCTATGGTTTCGGCTGTAATCGTCGATTCTTAAAATAATCGTGGGTAACCGTCGGTTTTCGTCCGGTTTCGACCATATGTTTATAGAACATAACATATCAGTCACCAGAACTTGAGTGATGAAAACGCTTCAGTATTTTTAAAACTGTAAACTTCTGAAAGCACTTTACTGTTAAGTTTAGGTAGAAGAAAACGCTGGAGATAGATCGCTACAATCAGTGTAAAACCTCATAAAATTACGCTGATAGTAGCGCTCTCGTCTAGGGTTTCTCCGCTAGCGTATCTTAACCGAATATTTCACTAGATGTCGCTGCTGTATGTATGTCGGGAGAATGTTAAGATACTTCGAGAAAGTGTTAAAATAAAGAGAGTGACACAATAAAAGATCTGGGTCTTCTACTCTGTCCTCAAAAATAAAGTTTTTAGAAGGGTCTTCTATTATGTCCCTGAAAGAATGTTGTTCTTGTTGAGGATTAGTATGTTTTTATTTAATTTTTTGTAACTCAGTTGTTTTTCTCGTTGTTTGCAACAATTCTTTTTGAAGAAAAGAAAATCAAAAATCTCTTACATAGGCACAAAATGAAAATTACATTGTTCCATGTGCACAGTTATGTGTGCTTCAGTGAAAAAGAGAATTGGCTTCCAGTAGAAATATTTATTATGAATATTTTGGCTACTCCATAACTGTGTTCTCAATTTGCTTTGCTAAATCTGAGAAATATGCAGGATGAATTTTGTCAAAAATTAGTGTCTATTGAGATTTTATATAGATACTTGATAACGTTCTAGACTGCTTTTTATAGCCTTTCCAAGATCGGTTCCCATACCGCTTAATATAAACATTGTGGAGTAAAACATTAGATCTTTCTCGTTCCAAAAATATCGTTTATGTGCTTTACGGGAAGTCTAGTTTCGCTTTTATAAGGAACAGTTTCGATAACAATGAATTTTGATTTATAAGTAAAAATGTGAAAAGTAAGAGGGAGTCTAACTTTTACAATATGAGTTCAAGAGGAGGTCTTCTATTTAAGGGGGATCTTCTAATGTGTCTATCCCTTTAGTAAAATACCTTGATCGGGATGTAGAATTTGAACCTAGAGAATTATTTAAAAAAAGGTTGCTGACCGGAATTTTAATTATTTAATTTAAATATATACCGATTGCGATATATGTTTTTTGGTTACACCCTGATCGGGATATATTTAGATTCAAAACGAGATACATATCCCAATTGATATAGGGCATGAATCTCTCCTACTATAATAGACTAAATTTTGGTTTTTTTGTTGAATTTTTCACAAAAAATTGTACTGATATTACTTATGTATGCAATAGCGACGATCTAAACGAAAAAAAATTTCTTTTTCTTTTCCCTGGGTATCGTTCGGATATATGTTGAAAAAGTTCATTAGATCTATAGAAAAATTTATCTTATCTCTTTGTACAAATATGGACATCCAACTATGCTCACTTGATTTGTGGATATCGTTCTATTACATATCCGTTTTTTTTTTTTATTTGTTCTCTCACAGCTGATCTGCATATCTCTTTTGTCTTATTCTGTCAGTACATTATTCGGCATACCATCAAACTAAATAATATACAGCAAATATTTTATGATAAAAAAGAGTAAATGTCTCTAGAAAGAAAAAGTCTCCATTTTATGCCCGTGTTTAGTAGAAATATGTATCAATTGTACTTACGAACGACTAAGGTATTCTATTGAGCATTAAGTATATTCTGATTAAGTATATTCTGTTACATATAGACTCAGATTTAACGTGACAGTCAAAAAGAGGAGAATCATTTTGTAACAGATAACATATTTTTTAACATATAAAATTTCAATTTTGATTTGATGGATATTATACAATTATCTTTTTTAATATTTATCTGGTGCTTCATCGTTGTCAAGCATACGACAGGTATATCATTATACATGTTTTTGTGAAAGAGAAAAGTGTTTTACAGATGATATAGAATAATTGTACGAATAATGATAGAAATTTAATCTAGGATCGCATGGGGTCAATTGGTTCACCTATTCAAAATTTGTTAGTAGTTAGCTTATTTCTATGCCGTTTTTCCATCGAATAAATAAACATTTATCCGTTTACCGATGAAACATATCTATGACTCTCGTCTCATTTTAGAGCAGTATACAAACGGAGACAAGTGCTGTCAAAATAGTCCGATTTTTATCGCATACGACTCTAATAAATTGTATTTTTAGTGCAAAGGAATATTTCTTGAAAAGTACAAAATACAATTTTAACATTTATCCGTGTTTTCTTTTATTAAACATTGTGAATGAGCAATAAGTCGTAGTAAAGCTGATTAGAGAGATTCGTCCTTGTTACAACTAAATTATAACAATTGTTATTCTTATAGGATTCCATGAGAGTGATTTTCAATTTAAATCGAACATCGATTATCTTTATCATTATTCAACAGATGTTCATATAGATGATAAAATATGGGAAGGATCAAAAGAAAGTGAACATAAACGAAAGTCTGATTCATCATTTCATATTTATGCACATTTAAACGTCACAAGTGTATGGCAAACAGAAAATGGTGATAAACATTTATTGAGAATTGATGTATGAATCAAATTAACCAAATTTTTAAATAAACATGACTGTTTTTTTATCTATTTTTAGTTAAAAGAGCTTCGATTTTTAAATACAACAAATCCTCATAGTATTATTAATTCTGTCACATTGAACACGTTAAGTCAATATCCAGTCATGACTCTATGGCAATCGGGAAAAATTATGCAAGTTTATTTCAATGAAAAGGATAATCTAGCATCTAAGAATTTGAAAAAAGGAATAATTAGTTTATTTCAATATAAACAAGATAATACATATGAGGTGCGTTAGGTAAATGTGTTACAGTTTTTGGTATTTGATACAGTCATTTTTTCATTAAAGATTGATACATTAGGTCGGTGTACAACAGAGTATTATGTGTCCAATGATCGTCTAGTAAAAGATATATATCATTGTACAAATGTCCATTATAATGACGAATATACAAGTCTAAAAACGGTGAGTATTTTGTATAAATCTAAACTTCTCAATATTCATACTGTTAAAATTATCTAATTTAAGGTTCTCAATTATACACTCGATTTTCAATCAACTTGTGTTTATACATTTGAAAATAGTTCATTAAAAACATGTTTATGTTCAGATCTCGTGTTTTCAAAATTAATTATTCCACAATTAACTGGATTTCGCGTCATGTCAAGGTAAAAATGAACAAAATAATTCTTATCATTTGTGTTCATTTATATTTTCATGTTAGATTGAATATTGAATTAATTGAAAAAGTGTCCAATAATAAACACCAGATATTTTCGACTATGAACGATGCTCTGAAAACAATACTGGGTAACAACATAGAGTCAAGTTTTAAGATAGATTTTTTTTAATTTTGACCTCTCTTCATATTTCAGACATCACACCAGATCAATATCATTCATTAGAAACAGAAAAGCAGATACATCCCTGTAATGATTACTGTAAAAAGGTAATATATTATTTTCCAGAGCACGCACAGTGAGCAATTTTGGCTTATTTTAAGGACATGTGCTATAATTTCTTTAAAAAAAAGCATTTGGGAGTTTAGAAAGACACCTTTTTCTAGGTTTTCGTATATGCTCCTTCTAATAGTTTAAGTAAAGTGCTTTCTTCATGGTATTTCAGAGGCTAACTTCGAGAAAACCTTGCCGTCTGATGCGGAGATCAAATTTTTTCCATCAAAAAATGGTATTCTGTAATCAGAAATCAGTGTCTAGTTGCGCGCGCATAGAACGATTTTAAAGCGAAAAAAAATTAGTTTAGAAAAAATTTTTTGATCAAAAGGCTACAAGGTGAAACCTTATCCATACTGTTTTTCATAATTTTTTCTGAAACATTTTTATGTCATACATCATTCAATTTTTTACGCTCACTTGGACTTATTGAATATGGACTTATTTTTCAATAAAAGCCTTCCTGGACTGAAAAACATGGATTTATTTGAAAAGTCCGAGGGACTTTTTGAAAACGTCGAGAACAGGCCGGGAAGTTTATGCATTTTTATGCATCCAAAGGACACACAGAGCGAACATTTTGGTATATTTTTTAGTTAGGTTGTGATTTAGCAAATTTTAGCAAACTCATTCATTATAGTGATCACACACTTAACGAAACTAAGCTTTTTCGAATTTTTTTCTTTCTGATGTTTTAGGTCGAAAACGAAATCGTTTTTCACTATTAAGTAGTAAAACGCATCTAGACTCAGATTGTGAATGATTTTTGATGATAAATTCGTTGGATTTTATAGAAAAGTTGTTTTTTTTCAGCCAATGTCATCTTTTTGCATCCGTTTTTAGCCAAGTGTTTTCAGACAATCCTTTATAGCTAGAATCAAAATTGTTTCGGCATTAGATAGTCCATATATCAAAGTACATTATCTAGTATCTCTATGTGAAAAAAATACACTTTCGATTTTTGGCTAAATGTCCCAATTATTACACATTGTGGCATGCGTATTTTTTATTACTTCTAGTTTAGTTTTTCTTTTAACATTTGTCTTGATTTTATTTCAGTTTGACGAGTTTATCAAAGATCATAAACAATATTTACGTAGACAATCGATAGGAAATCATACATCGAGTACAATATTTTTACAATTAATTCTACTTGTACGACGACAAAATGAACAAACGCTCATAAATTCATTGAATAATGCAACAAATTCAATCAGGTATATTGAACATTTTCGTATATTAAATATTTATTTAATATTTAATATTTTAGATTTACACTTATTGAAGCTTATATATCATCTCAAACGTCAACAGCAATAAATGTTGTACTCAAATATTTGGACAATGATGAAAATAAAAATAAAGAATTAATCGAATGTTTTTTAATGGCAGCTGCATTTATACCAAGACCGTCCGAATTTCTTTTTGAACAATTAATGGTAGTAAAATGATATGACGTTTTTCCACGTTTTTTGATTTGTTTTTTTCATTTCTTCTCTATTTTTAGAATCGGTTTAGAAATTTAGATAATCAGATAGAAACGAGTATTTATTCAACATTAGGAGCAATTGTACATAAAATATATTATGATAATGAAAAGACTTCGGTATGTTTCAATTGTGAATTATCTCAACACTATTATATTAAACATCTCTACTCTTTCTCTATTTGTCTCTGTATGATCTGGTAGATTATTGAGCAATATACAAATTTTATTCAAAATTCATTGAAAGAACATTCAAAAACACAAAATACCAAACGTCTTGTCTATTTATCATTATACAATGCAAAAGTTGGTTTATATCAAAATATTTTAATTGATGAAATTCGCTCATGTTCAGACACAAATTTATGTTGGTTAGCATTAAGTGCGTTAACTCAACTCGATTGTACATTATTATCAACAGACGTATGTTAAATATAAAAATGTAGAATAATGTCAAGTTTTGACCACTAAAATAATATCACCCATAGGGAAATTTGAGTATATAAAACGGAGTGTACACCGTGAATATCGTGAAATGATGTGTGGGCATGTGTGAAAAAGATATTCTACTTGTGACAATGTGTGAACTGTTCACAGAAACTTTTTGCGTCATGTTTTTCGCACGTAGCCACTAGTGAAAGTTGTAAAATGGTGTGTGGACACATGTGCTCATTTGTGAACGCATGTGAAATTATGGAAGGTTTATACGTGACCACACATTTGATGTTGCAACTGCACGATCCCAACGTCATGAAACTTCG